CAGTTCTAGGACTTATTTTATTTGACCGTAAACTTTCTATAAATAAGTGCACTTATAATGATTTGTGTTTGATTACAAATAAGTTCAGTGATATGATTTAGTTTTTAATTGTCCTCTCGTGTTGATAAAATAAAGAGTAATATTACTCTTACGAAGTCTTTACTTGTAATATATTAATATAATATTGTGACATAAAAAATTATAGCATCAAGAAATGTTATTGTACTAATCAGCTGAGTTTATTGATTGGTCATTCCATAAAAAKAAGTTCCTTGATGTTTTTATGATTTCAAATTAATAAAATAATATAATATATTTTTAAGATGATTTTATTATAAGAAATTAGGTAATATCCAATAGAAAAATTAAAACAAATAATTTGCTTGGTACCTAGGGGTGTTGTACCTATTAGTGTATAACAAACAAAAATAAATTGAAAATTCTATTTTCATTTTAATTAAAATAGTACACTATTTCAAGTATCCATTATGGAAAATTTAGGAGCAAAAAGTTTTAGCTATGGTCAAGTATTCAAGAACCTCATTTGTATATCCATGGTTTGGAATAAACTCTATTTGATAATTTCCATGATCAAATTACATAAAATTAAAATACGAGTAAAAAAGTGTCAGGCATATAAACATTTGTTTTTTTATTTTGTGAAAAGAAAATATTCTTATAATTTGTTTACAAAAAATAATTGTAATAAGTCCATGTATATCCAAATTTATTTTGTCACAAAGTTATAAGTCCATATAAGTTTTTGAAAAATCTCACTAAAATAAATAAATAAATATTATATAAATTAAACTAATACGTCAAATGGAAACTACATATATTTTTAAGTTAATTTCAGTTTGAAAAACTAATTGTGTAAATATTACTTATGTTAAATTTAAAATAGCTCTCCTGCACAATTTAAATTGTGTGACTTACAACAAGTGTGCACTAAGCCATAAATATGCTACCACACTGTTCTGATCAATCTTATGCAAGGCCAGATTTAGGATTGTGGAGGCCCCAGGGCCCATATAAGGTTGACATACATATATTTTTAGTTAAATTACAAGCTTTAAAACTATAAAATTATATTACTAATATTATTATATGTCCCATACTCAAGCTCATTACACCATTAGTTTCTTATTACATAGGTACATTTTGCTTATTGTCTAACATACTTTTTACAGATTTTGAAAACTTTTAAAGTCAAATCTTTTTATTTTTTTATTTCAGTACCCACATAARAACCATTGAATGATTTATTATTAAAATATATTTTATGCTTATTAAAACTTAAATAAACTATTCAAATTACATTCAAAAATATTGATACATTTAATAATATTTAGTGTGTTAAATCAACATAACAAGGTATGA